TCTTTTGTCATCGCATCTTTATTGTAACACCTTTCCCATTGTATTGATCTGTCCAATTGCTACAGCACCCAAGATGTGGCCTCACCAGTACTGAGCCCAGAGGAACAATCACTACCCTGCTGACTCCGCTATATCTGATATGAGCCCAGATGCTATTTGCATTCTTGGCCACACAACTAGCTCACTTTCAGCCAGTTGCCAACTAACACACCAACATCCTCTTTCTCTTCATCTCATAAGTAATACTAGCAATCTGCCAGCATCTCAGACTCCTTCTGCCCTCAGATTAACTGATAGATGCAGCTGTGTAACATTCAAAACAGTATTCTTAGCCCAACTTTGTCTATTGCTCCTTTTGAGATCTCTGGGAAATTCCATGGGCCAGCTAACATCAATATTCTCAATTAATGCCAAAGATGTTTGCTCTTCTGAAGCTGCTTCACATCTTCCTTTCTAAGTAAACAAGCATCTCCAAGAAGGTGCCCACCCAGTATCTTTCATTTCACTTGTTGAGTATTTTCCTCTGATGATGGCACTTTATTCCTCTTGTCTGTGGAGACCGGAAGAGAATTGATTGTTCCCTCTTTTCCTTCTCCAGGAAATCCTTTCAACCCTCACTTTAAAATCAACAATGCTGTTTCAAACATCATCTGTTCCATCACCTTTGGCAATCGGTTTGAATACCATGATGAGAACTTCCAAAACTTGCTGCGGCTGATGGATGAGACTGTTACCCTCCATGGGAAGATAATGAGCCAGGTACAGCCCCTGTGCCCCCAGCACCATCAGCATGGCCACCCTTTCTTTTTTGGAGTAAACCTGAAAACCTGTGCACTTTCAGAGGGCATACCAAGTTGGGAAGGGACCCACAACGGCCATTAAGTCCAGTTCCTGTCTCCACATAGGAACACTGAAAACCCAAATTCTTTGCCTGTAGGTGGTGTCCCAGTGCTCCCTGAGCTTTGGCAGCCCAGGACCATGCCCACTGCCCTAAGAAGCAGTTCTATGCTCACCTTTTCCTTGCACCCTGCCTGTCCCTCCCCTCGCACTGCTCCATCCTATTGCTCTCACCAAAGAGCAGAGCTCAGTGCTGACCCTCCACTCCCTGCAACAAGGTGCAGGCTGCCATGAAGAGTTGGGGGCCACCATGAGGCCTTCTTTATGGTGAACTAAACAACAGACCTCCCCAACCCTCACGCGTTGGGCTTGTAGACCCTTCTTCATCTTCGTAGTACTCATTTGGATGCTTTCTGATAGTTCTATGTCCTTACATAGTGCAGCATTCAAAACTGCACACGCTGCTCAAGGTGAGACCTTCAACAGGTGCGGGGGCTGGCCAAGCCCAGGAGATGTTTTTTCCTGCTCTGGAACCATGAGAGTTTCTTTGGTGTTTCCCACAGCTTTGTGGCTCCTCTTCTTCCCTGAAGATGTCCTGGTGCTGATGCAGTCCCCAGTGATCACAAAGCTGAGCTACCCTTGATAGTTTTCCTGTGCTTTGGGAAGGAAGTGAATACAGCAGAGGGTTTGGGCAGGTCCCTGGGAGAGGTTATGGGAAGGAGTGATGCTAAGGTTTCCAAGAGCACTCATTGCTATTCCTCTTTCCATTACACCAAGTTCATCTGTGTGTAATTTATTTCTGCCACATTCTCAAGCTGTGCAATGCTCACATTGCTTTCTTTCATCACTGCTCCTGTCCACTGAGCACGAAGCTTCTTGCTATAACTGTGAAGAATGCAGTAATCTCTCTGACAGTGGAGACAGCAATACTTTGTAGTGCTCTTTTGGTGATGAGTTAATTCCATCTACTCCTGCATTGTAGGGTTGTGGCTTTGTAGGCTTTTCAAGTCCTTTATTCAATTTTCCTTTCTTTTTCCAAAGCTGTACAATGCTTTTCCCTCCATAATGAAGTACTTCCCAGGATCTCACCAAACCATTTTTGAAAACTGGAGGCTGATGAAAGGTTTTGTGAAAGAGAAGATCAGCAAACACAAGGATGACCTGAACCTCTCAGAGAGCCGAGACTTCATCGACAGCTACCTGCAGGAGATGGCCAAGGTCAGCAGTGTGGAGCAAGCCCTTCCCCAGTGGGTAATGGAGATCACGAGGGCTGAGAAAAAAAATCAAATTCTGCACCTGAGCTGCTGGTGTGTCCATATCTGAGCTCAGGATGAACATCGGGTTTGGGGCATCCACTGGAGGGATGAGGATGCAGAGGGCCAGCAGCTTCTGCCAAAACCCTTGAGGCAGGACTGAGTCTGATTTTGAGGAAGTTCTTGCTTTTAACATGGCACTAACACTTGATTTTCTGAAGCCTAATGGCAGTGATTTCTGTGAGGATAACCTGGTTGCGTGCACTCTTGACCTGTTTTCTGCTGGGACTGAGACCACCTCCACAACCATCCGCTGGGCCCTGCTGTTTATGGCTATATATCCAGAAATTCAAGGTATGAGTAGAACATGCACAGTCCTGTGGCTATCTTCTGTAGCTTGGTAAGATATTCTGCTTGGGGCAGGAGAGGAGAGAAACTTGATAAGATTCAACTTAAAAAGCAGGTGTAGAGTTTTGCACCTGCAGAGAACTGCAAGAAACAGTACTACAGTTCAGGGATGACCTACTGGAGAGGAGCTCTGCCAAGGAGGACTAAGGGGTCCTTCCACACAGGGGTGGATAACAGGTTGGCCATGAGCCCACAGTGTGCGCTTGTGGCCAAGACAGCCAATGGTATCCTGAGGTACATTTAAAAGAGTGTTGCAAGCAGATCAACAAAGGTGATCCTCCCTTCTGCTCTGCCCTGGTGATGCCACATCTGAAATACTGTGTCCAGTTCTGGGCTCCTCAGTTAAAAAAAAACAAAAAACAAAAAACAAAAAAAACCAGGTCTCTCCTAGTGGAAATACAAAGTGTCCATAGTGGAGGATGACAAAGGTGATAAAGGGCCTGAATTATCTCCTTTATGAGGAAAGGTTGAGAGACTTGGCTCTCTTCAGGTTAGAGGAGACTGAGAGGGGATCTAATCAGTGTTTATAAATACTTAAAGTGTGGGAGGCAATTGCATGAGGCCAGACTCTTTTCAGTGTTGTTTAGTACAGGAAAAGGAGGAATGGCCAAAAACTGGAACAGAGGAAGTTCCACACAAATATGTGGAAGAATTTCTTTACCGTAGAGGTAACAGAGCACTGGAAGAGACTTTCCAGAGTGCTTGAGCTATCTCCTCCTTTGCAGATACTCAAGACATATCTGGATGTCTACTCGTGTGACCTAGGAAACATGCTTAAGCAGGAGAGTTGAACTCAATGATCCCTAGTGATCTCTTCCAACCCTTGCTATTATGTGAATCCCTCAGTACTCTTGCAAGTTTTGTACAGGAAAGTTTGGTAGTTTGTTGTTTTTGGTTTTTGTGCTTTTTTGTGGTTTTTTTTTTGCATTCAGGCACATGCCTCTGCTATGATAATCCTTGCCCTTCTAATATTGTAATACCAAGAGACAAAAGGGGCAACCTCACCAACAATGACTGGAGACTCCAGGCATTCTGGCAGAGGTGACAAGTGCACTGCACAGAGCTCAGGGCCCATTTAGTACTTGAAGATGAAAGCACACGAATGCCCTGGTGATACATGATTGATATGGGATGATCCTTGGGGGAGACAAACCACAAAAACAACATGAAGGCCCCAGGGGATCGATGGCTTTACTGCACAATAGCTGATCCTTCTTTTTTCCAAACAGCCCGTGTGCAAGCCGAGATCGATGCTGTCATTGGGCAGACACGGCAGCCAGCCCTGGAGGACAGGGACAACATGCCCTACACCAACGCCGTCATCCATGAAGTGCAGAGGAAAGGCAACATCATCCCTTTCAGTTTGCCTAGAGAGGCGATGAAGGACACAGACCTGGCTGGTTTCCATCTGCCCAAGGTAACTTCACTACGCATCAGACAAGTCCTTAGGAGAACACTCTCATTTCCCAGTCCACAAAGGGACCAGCAGCATCCTTATGCCACCCAGAGATCACCCCTGATGAAAAAAATACTGGTGATAGATTTGAATATGGATGCTCTTCATGGCAAGCACACAGGAAAGTAAATATTTCCCTCCTGTTGGCAGTGGCAGAGAAAGTGCAAAGTGATTTTCTTCTTCTTTGCAGGGCACTATTGTAATCCCAAATCTGTCCTCTGTGATGCTTGACAAGAAGGAGTGGGAAACCCCTCACAGTTTTAATCCCCAGCACTTCCTGAAGGATGGTCAGTTCTGGAAAAGGGAAGCATTTATGCCATTTTCTATAGGTAAGACCAGCTGCAGTTTGATGCTTCTGTGCTGAAACATGGGGTTGAGACTTCCAGCTGCACAAGGGAGACCCTGAACAAATTAGTGCAGACATTAGGTGTGTCCATGGGAGATGCTGCTTGCCCACTGCCCATATTGGTGAAAAGCAGTCCCTTCCTTTGCAATGAAAAATGCTGGAGACCCCAAAAATGCAATCAGGAAGATGAGAGCAGTGTTCTATGCTCCTAGTCCCACACAGCTGAAGTCAGTGGGCTTTGCTGCCACCACCATAGGGTCCTGGCAGCCTGGCACCAGCTTCCTGGTGGAGAGTGATTTGAACATCTCCAATTTCCTGCCCACGCATGACACTCTTTCTCTGGTGCTTTGGCTCTATTCCTTGGACTTTCTCTGGTGCTTCGGCTCTATTCCTTGGAGCATGGAAAGGCACACGAGGACTGCAGGTGAAGCACTGCTCATCCCAGCAGGGTAGGATAAAATGTGTGCATATACATTTACATGCACGTGCCCTCATTAAGTTACCCAGCTGGGGGCAGACCAGGCTACAGCTCCATGGGGGGCTCAGCTGGGATGGAGTCCTGGTGCTGGAAATGTAAGTGGGCATGGGGGATGTGGGTAGGGTGATGTTCCTGCAGGAGGCGTGTGCTGAGGCTTTTCAGCAGAGAAAGCAGCTGGGCAGCCAGCAGGGCTGAATGGGCGCTGGGCGGCTGTCTCCGCAGGGAAGCGCGCCTGCCTGGGTGAGCTGCTGGCTCGCGCCGAGCTCTTCCTCTTCTTCACGGCTCTGCTCCAGAAATTCACCTTCCAGGCTCCCCCGGACACCATCCTCGACCTCAAATTCATTCTGGGCATGACCTTGGCCCCGCGGCCCTACAAGATCTGTGCAGTGCCTCGCTAGGGAGCACAGCCACTGCTCTCAGAAGGAGAACTCTCAGCTTTGGCACAGGCACAGTCTGAGTACTCAGCAGCCACCATAGGCCATGGTAAAAACCTACTTACATGCTTTGTTGCTTTCTAAGCAATTGCAGAATAGTTTCTTTTTACAAGCAGATCTTGCACACTGTTTCAGATGAGAAAGATGATTGGTATGTGATGCACTGGGGCACTTCTGGGCTTGCATGCCAGCACTGCCAGTGAATGAGGAGCTCAGGACTTTCTTAATTCCATGCTAGATGGCCATACCTCACAGCTGGGGATCAGTACTGGCAGAGAGCAACCCCTGAGCTCATCTTACTATACTGTAGAAGTAGTAATTGCAAACAGTTCCTACTTTGATCTTAGGAAAGCAATTTGTCAAAAGAAAAATACCACAATGCCTTGTGACATCTCCCTCTCTTGAGCATTAATAAATCCCAACTGAAACATTTTTGATGTGAAGCGTTTTGCAAAGCGATGACCAGCACAGCCTTTTCAGCACTGCCTGCAGTCTCCAGCCATGCCAGCATTTGGGGCAGCAGGGGGTGGTGTGCAGAGCCATGCTGAGCTGCACAGCACCAGCTCTCCCTTAGCAGAAAGGAGGGCACGGGAACAGCACAGGCCATTCATGCAGAGCTGATGAATATTCATGACACGAGCTCTATGAGCAAATCAGCAGGAAAACCACCAAGGCTGGTGGCTGTGTTCTGCCACACCACTGCAATCAATGCAGTGACAGTTACGTGGAGGAGAGCAAGAACTATTTCTGACATCCGTTTATAAATCATCTACGCGTGGTGGTATAGAAATTGTGAACTCTGTCTCCTAGAATAAGCTAAATTCGTTCTCCTCTCTCCACCTCTCCCCCAAGCCTGAATCATCTTCTCCACACCTGGTTAGGAGGCAGCTGGGAAGGTTGAGCTGACACTGCAGAGCTGCCCAGGAAAGAAGAGGCACACCATTTCTCCCAAAGTTGCACAGTGACCAAGCACAGTTCTGTAGCTTGCACATAGCACATTTCCAGACAACAGTTTGGACGAAGATGACATTTCTGGCACTTGTGGATCCTGTTTCACTGTAAGGAAGAGATGTGAGAAAGTTCTCTAGGAAACAAAAAAAACACATTGATACAATACAGGAACCTTGAGCAGGTTTCCTACTAGATGGGTAATGAGGCCTTCCTGACCCTCTTCTCCCCACACCCTAGCTGCCATGCAGCCACTGCTGTTTCCTCCTGCACCCAGCACCCTTTACTCGCTCTTCCAATGCTCAGGAAGGCAGCAGCAGCTCCCCTCAAGCTGAGGGGCTGAAAACATTCACAGCTGACAGCCTCTTTCCTTCCCTCTCTCTGAAATAAACACCTTCATTTCTATTCTTTGATGGATTAAAATGCTTTAGTCCTGCCTCTGGAATGATGAAAAACAATTCTTCTATATCTGGCCATTCACTTCCCCCTCACTGGGCTACTTCCACCAGCTCAAAGTCCCTTCTTCACAAGATAGTCCCCAGCTCCCCTCCTCACAGACCAAAGTAATAGAAGTGCTTGCTTACGTGTCTGTATCCTAATCCTTGGCCTGAGCAGCCTTACAAGCTCTGGTAAAAACAGGTCAGAAATGGGGACCTTGAAGGAAACTAGGCTCTTTTCTCCTGCTGATCTTCACTCTCAAGTCTTCTTTTCCAAGTAATAATGAGCCGAGAGCTGTCATATTAGGTGTGGCTGAGGAGAGCATGCAGAAATCTGAACTTCTTTCAGTAGCAATAAGCAATTACTTAAGTCATTCAAGAGCTAATTTCTAGCAGCTTTTAACCTTCCCACTTCACCTGCCCCCTTCTCAGACGATTACTAGAAGCAATTAGCTGAACAAGGAAGCAGAACTTAAAGCAGGAATGAACTGGGAAGGGCATCACACCTCCAATTTGTTGCTGCAAGACAACATCCTGTAAGGTTATACTTGATATAGTGTGACTGGAACAGCACAAAATTATTTCATACATTGCCTAGAAGAATGGATGCTTGCATTAGCTAAGGGCATAACTGAGAAAAAAGACACCAATGAATTCATTTTAAAAATCTTTATGTGAATATAAAAGAATCATTTCCAAAGAAATAAAACAAAAAGAAGTTTAAAAATTAGTGCAACTTTTCAAGTTCTATGCAATACAGTGTTTACATTTGTTTTCAACTGACAATGTAGACACTGATACAACATGAAATCTTACCTCTAGTTGGACTAGTGGGTGAAAAGGAAATAAGCTAGGAAGCCTTAAGAAAATTATTTTACTAGACATTATCAACTCAAACAATTATTTTCATTTTCTAATTCCGAGACTATGGCTACTTAAATAAAACATTGGTATTGCTTATATTTTTTACTTTCAAGTAAGTGTATATTGTAGAAAATAGAATACCTATATACATATATATTTCATGAAGGAAAACTTGGGTGAAAAATCTATTTTTAGTGACTGTTTCTTAATCCACTACTATACAGTTGTTCTAAAAATCATCTTCTCAAAACCACTGCCTGATCCACCTTGAGTAAAAGAACCTAATAGCCCTAAATTTGTATTATTGCTACAAAACACTTCTCTTCCTTTGTGGCTATTTTCTTAGATCTTATATAAAAGAAAATTATGAGTTAAATGATATGTCACTTATTTTTGCTTCTGGGGATTCATACTACCTGTTTAACCAGAAACCAACCAGAATTACCAATAGTACTTTTATTCCTTTTTGCACATCCAGATGAGGTGAAGTGAATATGACAGTATGGCTTAGATTCAAATAATTATTTCTGTGCATCACTTCCTCATTCACAGAGCATAACCCAAGTTTAACTGGTTACAAAACAGCCCCTGTTCTGCAGTTTCCCAAAATTCTAAAGAAACACTAAAAAAGACTGTATTTACCCATCTAAGTTTTAACAGTTTGGAAAAAAGCCAAGGAAGTAAAATTTTCTCCAAATACCTGAACATTTTAAATTTTTGCATCCTTAATAGATTTACTGGAGACCACTCCTACTCTGAAAAAGGCTTATTCCCATCTGTAATTAGGTATTTAAATTTTTCATTTCTGCTTAGAAGACAAGCTTTTAATTAATAGTAAGGAGGTTCTCGGTCATTTTTTGGTCCCAGGGTCTGCAGTTTTGAGAAGTATATAAAGATATTTGCTCCAAGGTTTTCACTATTCAGCACCTGATACGACTACTGACACAGCTCTACTACCGTGAGAAACACTGCATGTACCAAGCCTATTAACTAGATGAATACTTGAAGGAGGTCCATCAAAGTTTTCATGCTGTGAAGAACAGAAGCTAAGAGACTCATTCAACACCACCAACAACAGGTTCGTATTTCACCAGAACACACTGAAGTACCAGGCTTTAAGAAATGTAAGCAGCCTGCTAAGGCTTACTCTCACGTTCTACTGCTCACCACCATCTCCCACACCACTAACAGATTAAACACGCTATTGTATCTTAACAGTACAAAAACAAAAACCATCACTGCTGCAGTCAAAGACTTCAAAACTCAAGAGGTAGTCAAAGAAGCATAGAGTCCTGAAGAACACAAACTGACAGACACAACTGTTCAAAAGCAGTTTCTTGGAATGTTCTTTGCTCATAACACTCCACCTTTCAGACGAATCTGGCTTTTAAATAATACCTTGTATAGATGTAAGTTTCACAAGAGGAAATCTTTCTGCAGTGCTTAGGTGTATAAGACTGTAAGCCATCAACGCTATTAAGAAACAAAACTTACTAAGTATTAAAAATGAGAAGTTTCCTTTTCTCTAGCATTGCATACAGTGCCAAGAAGGCAGAAGGGAAGGAAGATCGGGAAGGGAAAAATCAAAGAACAAGTCATACTGAGGGGCGTACAAAATGCAAGACTACTCAAAATTCACAATTCAATCCATACTCAAAGTAGAAACTTCAATTCTGCAAAGCAAAGCTGAACCCAGCTCTCAAATAAAAGATGGCCTCAGTGGTGAAGTACTATATGCTTTCAGTGGTGAGATTTATAATAAATTACAGACAGGTGCGGCAACCTCATTTGCATACTGTTAAGTGTATTCATTTAAAGAACTGCTGTTTCTTTATGCCATTTAACCAGCTATAATGAATTTGTTCTAGACAGTTTGCAAAAAAGGATGGACATAAATTTCTTAAAAATACAGTTCACAAAAAATAGAACGCTTTTTCAATAAAGAGACACACGTTTGGAGAAAGGCAGCAACTCCCCCCTCAAGTGTCAGATATCAGTTCTGACTTTTCTCCCTCAGTCTTTGCTGCCGAGGATTAGCAAAGTAGCATTTCACTTACCTGCATAGCACAGTTAGTTCAAAATAATTGCAGTGAAACTACATTTAAAAATGAAGAAAAATAATTTCTATTCCTAAGGTTGTATAAATAGCTGGAAATAAAGGTTTCTTCCTACACCATCACCACCTGCATCCTTGTCCCCTCATCCCCCCACATATCTCACAAATGCAGTGCACAGGTACTCCAGACTTTTAAAACATAGCCCAGACTTGAGTTAATACAATAGTTCTTTTTTTTTTTTTTTTCTAAAACAAAAGCTTATTTGGCTTTGGTGAATTCAACATCTTCAAGGTAGGATTTCCTTAGTGTATATAAGCACTAACTTGACCTTTACTTAAATAGATTGCATAATTGTGTCTCCGATTTGAGATGATAAAGCCTGTCACCTGTTATACAGGTCAACTAGTAATACAATTTTAAAATTTTATTTTTAAATAAACGCAAATATTTTCTTGCTTCTAAAATTGTATTTTGTATTATATTATCTAAGAAGTATTTTTAAAGCATGTTACCAATTTCTTAAAACTTGATTTTAGAAGAGGCCAGCAAAAATGTCAAATATTGCCAGTTTCCTGAAGTATATTTTTGCATAACATCTTCCTATTACAAAAGTCAACTCTCTAGCCCAAATAAATTGATTAGTTTTAAATATATAGTGCCAATTTTTATATTTACAATATATCTTCAAGGCAAATATAAATCTTAAGTTGTGCTTGTAAATACATACTGTAATTATTATATCTACTTCTATTGTGCTACCTTCTAGATACCACTGATCAAGTTAATTAAGCTAAGTTCTTGATAAATTCTGATGCTGAATTCACAGATGCCCACCACTGTAACATCATCTTTCACCAAACAGTTGAAGTAGAAGCTATAAAACACTTAAGGACACTTTAGCAGGTAAGCTTCCCTCACGGTCCTTATGGTTCAATCAGATGTTGCACTTGGTACTTTAACAGGGAGATTCCTTCTAGTATTGGTGACATGGCGCTGTTGAGCTAGGAAGGAACGTCCTGGGCCATCCCTGCAGGCACCATCACTGCCAAGCAGTCTAGCTTCCATACCTAATTTCTGGAGCGTTAGGCTCTGCAATAAGATAACACTTATTACACACAGCAAAAAAAAAAAGATTGGTCATCTTTCACACACATTGTTAATACGTATAAATAATTGCTTTTACTATACTTCTAGTAGAACCTTGTAGTGCCATACAGGGTATGAACCAATGCAAAAGAAAATAAGATTCATTCATCACAGAATATGTTAATTTTAGTTTATTGCGAAGTTGTTCCTTTATTAAGCATGCTGTTTAACTTTGCTTTCATTGTTTGATTTTCCTTCCCAGCCTTCATGAAACTCTATACATTGTTTCAAATGAAAATGAACTTTCTCTAGTCCTTTTCACAGCAATCTAAGATCTAACACTACAACACTGCTGTAAGTATGACTAGTTTAATTTCACAAATGCCATGCTAAAGACTCCACAGATCTGAAGCAGGAGTCTGAAAATCTTTGGAATCATAGCCTCTCTTTGCCTAAAGTTATGTGAAAAGTGGCTATTGAGCATTAAAGAATTTGGTTTGACAAATCCAGGTGGAAGCTTATGACAGCTTATGACTATTAAGATGGCAGTCATGACCTATGACAAATTTTAAATCTCCTGTTCCAAAGCCAAGCAGAAAAGACTAAATATAATAATTTTACCAAATAGTTGACTATTAAAACATTCTCCCTTTATATTACTATTGGGAATGTTGATGCTGGTGTTGATGCTTGCAATGTTGATTCCAAGTTACCTCAAGACTGGAAATTCTAATAATTCTAATGAGCTAGGACTCATTAAACTTTGCATTCTTGCCTGCAGTCAGCATTAGAAAGTACAAGAGAATGATCTCACTTCAAACTCGGGGTCTCAGGCTCCTCTCTTCACCTTAGTTCAATGTTTTTAGGCATGAGGCCATGCTAACCTGCAAGTTGGATATTTCAGACAAGTAGCTAAATCATTGGCTTTCTGTCCTAAGCACCAGTTTATAGTGAACATCCAAAAAAAAAAAAAAAAAAAAAAGATGTAATATTTCACTGCCACATTTTGCAACATGTACTTTTAAGGTTTCTAAAAGATTAACAAATGATCTTTTGACCCACCTTGTTGTACCATGCAGTTACAATTAAATTTTCCTCATAATCACGTAACTTAGCGAGTTTGTATTCAGCCTGGAAAGAGATTGGAGAAGACAATCTCAGATAAGACACAGAAATTGTCTGCATAAATTTACTGCAGCTCAGTGAGGAACATAAGTTATGCAAAAGAAAAGCTTAAGCATGTAAAGTAACTAGAAGGTGTACAAATGTAAATAAATTTGTTTCCTTAAACAGCACAGAGATACTTGAGACAGTGACTACCTCAAGAAGCAACAAACCTTTACACAGAAACTGCACTTCAACTTAGAAACTTATTTTCAAACTGGAAAAATAAATTGTGAAAGTGCATTGCAAAGTCTAGAAATAGTCTGGAAGTCTTTTTGCACTTTAAAGTGAAAAATACTGAAAGACATAACTTGGCAGAATATTCTTGTCACATTACTGAATTTCTATTCTCTATATACTTTTAATTACTAATTTGTTCATGTAAAAGAAATTTGAGGTCACAACATTTGTTAAGCCTACTCTAGGCCTACTAACTCATAGTGATGAATTCTGCTTTTGCTCAAGTAACTCGTCCCATCAATATTGTTATGGAAATGAATGCAGCATTTCCCAGTTTTCCTTTGTCTTTGGACTGCTGCCAATGCTCCTTCCAGAGAAGCACAGGCAATGAAATTTTACTAAATTAGCACGTTTTACACTTCAGTACAGTTTCAAACACTCCAGTTGATGAAACCACTGATACCATGGGTCTAGTAAAACTGTCATTGCCCTAACACCTAGTTAGTCACACAAACTGAATTTCATTACTACTGAAAAAGATCAGACTCTGCAGCTCTGTACAAGTTACCGTGTGGCAGCAAAATCCTTACTTTTGTGCTGTACTTCACTTAACACATCTTAAAAGTTTTTAGAAATATTCCAAATCTGTGTTTCAGACGTACAAGGAAAGACACTGCTAAAAATCTATAGGTTTAATAATCTGTGCAGTTCCTAAATAAAAGGAGCATTAAAGAGTACTGGATCATGAGTAACTTAAGTGTCCAAGAAAGCAGAACACATTAATTGAAGTTACTTTGAAGTACATATAGATTTTACCTCCAACGCTTCAATTTTTTTGTCTCTCTCTGTTATCTGTTTTCTAAGCAACATGATTTCTGCGGATGCTGGATTCAGCTTGGGATCCAAGGTTTTTATCACCTATAAAAGGCAAAACAAATGCATGACATATCAGCTTTGCACCTCATTTGCTCACAGGAGAAATACAAAAACAGACTGAGTATAAGTTGGGCAGTGAGGATGAGAACCAAGCTTTTGTTTTCTTAATCCAGTATGAAATAGGATATTAAAAGTTATTGAAGATGACCAATGCATCTCGTTGTTCAGGCTGAACTATATACTCTCGTACATTTCTGACTGGAATCAAGTAATCAAGGGCAGGAGATGTTTGGGAATGGGACAAATCAATACATTCAACAATTTGTGTATCTTCAGAAATACGCCACTCACATTTCTTGCTTTTTCAAGGTACATTTTGTATCTTTCTTCCATTGCTTTCATGTCCTCATCTTTTTTTCGTAAGGCTGCTTCCAGCTCCCCAATCTTCTGGGCTATTTGTAGAAACCATGAACAATGACAACCAAAACAAAGATAAACACGGTACTTAAGCCTCCTCCCCCTCCTCCAAGTAACTTTTCAGCTGCTATGCAGTTTCCTACCATAGGGTCCCATCTGACTCTGAACTCCCATTTATCATTCAACAAAAGTAATGCCCCAACCAGCCTCTGCCTCTGTGTGCAAAACAAGAAGCCAAAAAAAAAACAAACAAACCACCAAAACCAAAAAACCCTCCAAGTGATTGTTTTTTTAATTCTGTTTCAGATCTACACGCAAGAAGAAAGCCTTATCCAGACTAGTATCTCATAGTCCAGATACTATGCAAACCATTTCAGAAGAAACAACACAGATTCACAGAGATGAAAAAATAAACAGACAAAAAACTTACGGTTCTGACTAACATCAGGCTGTAGTTCTGCAAGAGCAGCCTCTTTCTTCTGTAACTCATCATGAACTTCACTCAATTTTTCCCTACAAATGGAAGAATTAAGCTTAATTCCATACATGATTTCACACACAGTTCTAAGATACAGTAGTTGCAAGTTAATTGTAGGAAATGTTTAAGCAATAGTTTTAAACTCTGGTGATTCCTTTGAGTTTAAATATTAGTATGCATTTTGGCACAGTGATACAAACTGTAACTGAGATTCAATATAAAAGTTACTTAAGGGTAGAAGCAAGAAACAACGTGAACAACAAAAAAACCTCTCTAGTACCTCCTTAGTATGAACTCAATTTGTTGAAAGGATGGATACATTTCAGAATAATTAAATACATTTTGAGTTGAGCAAGAGTGATGTTTATAAGTGTTACAGAATCAGAACAACTACATTACCACTGGTGAAGAAGATATGATTAAGTGGATACCATTGTAACAAGATTCTCAAGACCAGAGCATAAGGACTCAAATGCTAATATTTAAGACAGTGACTCAGAAAAAAACACAAGACGTCACTGTGACGACTTGGGCAGTTTACATGCTACAAGAATCAAATTATTTGGCATAATTAAGTTACTGTGGATGCATATGTGTTACTTACATATGTGCTGCCAATTTCTGCTTCAGATTGCTAGACTACAAAGGAAAGTTAAAATTCAGTTAATTTCAGTATTTCACAATGTGCAATATTAAAAACAATCCTACAAGTGATCCTTGAAAACTTATCACATCTAAAAAAGTTAAGCAAGCTTTCGAACCTCCATTTTTTATTTATTTCCATAACTGCACTCAGATTTTTTGCACCAGATAGATGCCAACTCCAATATCTTTCTTTCTTTCTTTCAAGTTATCCTTCTTCTCACAGCACCGCTTAAGCATAAAACTAGAGACTTACTGAGGAGTTACAGCTTCTTAAATGGGGAGGAAAAAAATAGAAAAAAAAGCTTCTAGCTAGGATCCTACTTCCTTAGTATCTGTCAACACCAAACACACTGAAAAAGAAGAGATGCATCTAAACAATATTTGATGCTGCACTGAAGGATTTTAAACAAGAACTGTTAAGATATATTCATCAGGGTCAAGAAAGCTGAGCTTTCACTTACTCCTTCTGTCTTGGAACCTTGTTCCTGTAAAGTCTTTTGCAGATCTTCAATCTGCTGTTGTAACTCTCCAATACGCTCCTTGTTTAGCCTTTTAGGTAGAAAAGCCAAGAAAAGACAGTTAATATAATCTAAACAGATCACAGTACAGTGAGTTTTTTCTTCCTGCCTGGCTGATAATTTTGCAGAGGGTTTACCCAGCAGGACATAAGCCACATATAAACTGATTCCAAGTTATTTTAGTATGACTTAAAGTTCTACTGAAACAAACATTTGGCATCTCTATTAAACATTTTAAAATGATTGAACTGGAACCATTTTAAGGTTTAAGTAAACTTAACTGCTCCTAAATTATCATGTCCTACAAAACTGCTTTCAGCATTTGTTAACTGACAGAAAAATTCAAGCCATATCCCAGCATCATTTGCTTGCAGCTTTAGAAATCGAGTTTACATCCATTCCATCAAGAATCAGAGCTAAAAGTATTCTACAGACAACAATTCCTTCACACCAAGCCAGACTCAGAGCTGCCAAATTTTACGTCATATTTAAGATTTCCATCTAGCTTGTCTTGTTATCCCTTCCTGTTCATTTCACACTGGTGAAATTAAATGGGCAATTGGCTGCCAGCACAGTCTGTGCTATAGATGCCTGCCACTCTGAAGGACCAGAAACCACATTTTGCTGTATTTTAAATACTGTTTCGCCCATCACCTTTTTTCAGTTTCTAGTTCATTTACTGTCCACTGCTTTTGCTCTAGCTGTTTCTGGAGCTCTGTAATACGTTCATTTTCTGATCCTTCCTGTTGCAGTAGAAGCATCTTATTTTCATGCTGAAGCTGAATAAACATTTCTCTGAAAAAAAAAAAAAAAAAAAAAAAAAAACAACCACAAGAAAAGAGTCACCACTGATTAAGAAAAAAGAAGAGATAAAATTCCTGTTCACCTTAAGTTGAACACAAGTTCTCCTGAAGAATGTAAATAGGGTAATAATTCAATTTTGGATGGAAAGGTAACTTAAAATTCTGAAACACCACAAAAGGATTTTCTTGAGATGAGCAAAGTGGTAAATTATGCAACTCCAAACTCAAATTATTTGTGTCTTTATGCTTCACTCTGCCAGATTTTCAAGATAACCAGAGCTAGCAACTTGCTATTCTATTTTAGCTGCGGCATATTTTTGTGCATTACATATAGAAAACTGTTATGTTTTTAAAAAAGAATGCAAATCTATTATAGTATGGGGAAATAATTACTAACTACTACATGAAGGGGTTTACGTAAACATAAGGGATGCAAATCAAGAAGTGGGTGAAAAGGC